CCAGTGCTGAGTCCAGGGGGATGATCCCTGCCCTGCTCTTGCTGGCCACACTAGTGCTGATCCAAGCCTTCTGGGCCACCTGGCCACATGCTGGTTTATGTTCAGCCAGCCATCGACCAACACCCCCAGGTCCTTTTCCACTGGGCAGCTTTCCAGACACTCCTCCCCAAGCCTGTAGCATTGCTACATCATTCCTAAGAAGGAACTGATGATGTCCAAGGCCAATTCCATTCCAAGAGGGTTGAAAGTGACATCACTTAGTATAAATTTGTAAGTTAGAAAAGGCTCTATTAGGAGATAGAGAAGAAGAAGTGTGGACCAGTACAGCCATGAGACATTAAAGGGTATTCTGGTGAGCTGAGCCAACACTGCTAAACTCACCCTTTTTTTCCCTCCCCTTCTCATCTCTATACTCACAAAATAAGGATCTCAACATCTACCTCCCCATATCATTTGTTATTGAGATTTCACCAGAAACAAGATGGACCTGGCAGTGCTTGGCTAACTGTTGGACTCCATGAACTTAAAGGTCTTTTCCAACCAAAACAACTCCACGAATCCAAGATGAAAGCCAGCCAGGCACAACCTGCAATGCCACAATACTAACACATAATTATTTCTCAAAATATTGGTCTTGAAGAGAAAACTGAAGCATGCAAGTCACCACCAGGAAGTTTCTGTATGACTTGTTTTAAAGTCACATGCCACAGGAGCAAGAAACACCAGCTAGGTGGTTTAATATTTCTGAAGTAGGGTACTTAAAGGCAGTTTGCTGCCTAATGACATCTTTCTTGCTGATTAGCAATCTCATGATTAGTAGTTTTACCATTTACATATTTAACAGTGTATAAAAATAAATCAGGCACAAAGAAATATAGTATTTTAATCCAGTTTCACTCCATACCTGACTAATTTAATATTAAAAGTCAGTTCATTTTTTTTTCTGGGGTTTGGGGTTAGGTTTTTTTTTTTTCCTGTTTAACTAAATTTTTGTTAGCAATTTTATGAGCATTTACATGCACGTCCAATAATGTTGATTTGATATATAGATATAAAGCTAAGAACTTTAACAGCTCTTAAAAAAAAGCCCATACTATTTAGTGTGACACACAACAGGCAAAGGAACAGGAGAATGACAAAAGTGATTTGACAGAAACAATGCCTGGGAAATGGGTTTCAGGAAGGAGTCCAGGTTACAAGATTTAGTGAAGAGAGAATTAAGAAATTGCTTAAATTTCATCTGCATAAAAGAAAGGTCTCTCATATCAAAGGCCTCTTTGAATCTACCAAGCAGAAGCCATAATAAGGCTCAAGGGCTGGAAGATAAAAAGCTGAGAAAACTGAAATGAGAACTAAAGCAAGGAGTGAAGGAAGTTAATCTTCAGAGGTAAATTATTGGTCAAGAAAGTAATAAAAGTGATACAGAAAAATGATAAATTATTAATTCTTCTGAAACTTTAACATTAATACAGAGAAGGTGGTGCTTCAGCTCAACCCTATGATGCAGCTAAGGACAGCACTAGCCAGAAGCACTGCTGATGGCACCACCTCCAAACCTGAGCTGAGTTACCAATGGAAAATATTTAGAAAATAAACACTCATTTTCATCAGCAGCTCCTTAACTAGCTGGAAATGAGTGTGAGTTATCTGATAACACACCACAGCTCTGCAGATTGAAATCCCATTTTGCTGTTTCTTTATTTTCAAATCCAACTCACCCTTTGCCTTCAACTGTTGCTTCCTTGAGATGTATGTATGAGGCAGGAAAAATGCCCTTTGAAAGAAAGGAACAAGAAAAACAATTTAAATAACCAGTTGCATCTCACATAGTATCTATTACCTAAAAATATTCCAAGACACACTGCAGGGTCTGCAGAGCTGTTCACATCCTGGTAAGCATCAGAATATTTGAGTTGTGGTGCTTTGTTTTCTTTTTAGTGTACATTTACATTTTGTACAGCATGTCCTCTCAAAGGTGTTCATTTAACTTTAGCAAATAAACACCCAGTGTAATAAACAGGCAAAACATTCATCCCCCATTGCCAGCATGGAGTATATGTAACATGTCTTCTACCACCAATCTGTTAGTGCTACAAGCCAAAAACCTCTTCAACATGTAGGACTTCAAGAGACCAGTACTGCTTTTCAGAAAAAAATGTTCTAAATTCATCTCAAGGCTCCAGAAACACATCTTCAAAATATTGCAAGCTCATATTAAAAAATAATTCAAGTCAAGCTGAGAAACTAAGTTCCTCCACCTCACCCTTTGAGGCAGTAGTTGTGTTTTCTTATCACCTAGGGATGCCTGAAAAGAAATTCTTGGAAAGCTACAGAAGCTGAGGGGTGAGGGGATGTCTTGTTGACCTATTAAAAAAAAACAACTACATTTAGCAGCAATCAAATGCAGCAACACATGGAATTAATTTAATTCCAAGAAGAATGTGTAACTGCTTCTTAAGCTGCACAAGGCATGTTTGTGAAATATGCTTCCTAAGAAGTGTAGTGTATTTCCCAAAAAAGAAAATATCAAAATAGAACAGAAGAAAAACACAGAACAGGCCTGGTTAGGAAGTGGGTGGGATGAACCACACAACTCAGCTCTGTACTTTCAGACATGCAGATGTAACTCAAAATGCACCTCTGGAGGCAAACGTCACGTTCTAAGTGCTTTAAGGAGAAAAAAAAGCAAAGCCAGAAGTCATTTAATTCTACTTAATTACTACTATAAAGTAAAATGCTCCAAAAAAAAAATAAAACACAGTGTTACAACCAGTATTTGTGCCTTTTCATTTCAGAAAGGCTGCTATAAACAGCACTGAGAGCCTAACAACCAGACAAAATCACCCTGCGAGAGGGCAGTCATCTTCTGCAGAGAGCCTCTGAAAATCACCCTGCAGATCTCCAGACCACTTCAAGATGTGATTGCATTTTATGAGTAATAAGTTATTTAACAGACAGTGAAGCAAAGTGTCAGCCTCTAAGCAGATCAAACAGAACAAAGTTCTGAATTTCTACCAAGCCAAAAGCTCTGGTCCAGCGGTTCCTGAAGAAAAGCTGATGCACATCACACCATCTGTAGGACCAGAAGTGCACATAAAATAGACCTGCAACTCTGCTGTTAAGTCTTGCTCAATTAAGTTTTGCTTAACTTGAAAAATTCCCATTTACCAGAGGTTGAGACTACACACCAGTGGTTATCAGAGGTCAGCAGGCACATGGGGAGCTGCTGCCATGTTGCAGCAAGATCTCCAGTGTACCAACACCACCAATGCCATCATCCACCTCTGGCCAAGAGAAAAACCAGTGCTCTGCTCTGCCAACACTTACCTTCTTGGATTTCTTCCGTAGTGTATAGCCTCTGTACCATCCTAGGAGGAAAAAAAAGGAGAAAGGATTAAAAAAGTTCATTAGTGTCACCTACTAGCTGTTCCTCTTCAGCTCCACAGCACCTTAGTGTGGTTTCTGATGATGCTTCACCCCTACCAACGTACACACTCACCCTGCCTGAATTTAAAATTCCCTACAGGATTAATATCCTGGCTAAAAGGAGTCTTCTTGGAAGCTATAAAAATCAGAGTGATAGTGGTAGAATCATAGACTTGCTGTGGTTGGAAAAGACCTTTAAGATTGTCATGTCCAGCCAGCACTGCCAAGTGTGTCAAGCTGCTGGAGAAGACTACATAACAGAGATGGTATTTTATGTGATCTGTTTAATCATCATTCATTTAATTACCCATTTCCCAACATAAACAAAACCAACTTTAGAGCATTAGCTTCACAAAAACGTCCTGTTGGACTAGTTTTATTTTAAACCCTATTTAAATTCCACAAATGCAAGTTTCCAAATGCAGATCAGCCACTTGTCCTCTCAGCAGAAAACAAGACTGCTTTGGGATTTAGGACTCACACGTCACAATACAAAGGCAAGGAGCTTTTCCTCCAGCCCTAACTCCACACGAGGCAGCAAACAGGACCCCAGGGCTGCAGGATCCTCTGGCTTGTGCCATCCTCCAAGGCAAAACCATCTCATGGACTGTGCCCTCACAGCACGTCCATGAGCAACCACCACTGCAGCTTTGGGAGCTCCTCCAGCCAACCCACCACACTGCAACTGGATAACAGAAGCAAACCCAAAACCCTGTGAACCATGGTTGCAGCAGGACACAGGGTGATGGTTTTAGTAAAAGAGGGGAGATTGAGACTAGATACAAGGAAGACATTTTTGACACAGAGTGATGAAACACTGGTGCAGGTTGCCCAGAGAGGTGGTCATGCCCCATCCCTGGAACCATTCAAGGTCAAATGGGGCTGAGCACCCTGCTCTAGTTGCAGATGTCCCTGCTCAGTGCAGGGGGGTTGGACTAGGTGACCTTGAAAGGTCCCTTCCAACCCAAACCTTCCTATGGATAAAAACCTAGTCCCATTTTCAGTAACTAGGGCACGCATAAAGCTTAAAGACAACACAGTAATGAATTCATTGTCTACACTCTGGGACTGGAAATGTAAATTAAAGTCTCAAGCACACAGTTTTTCATCTGCTGTTCAATAGCACAAAGTAAAATGCTTGACCACCTTCACATGGCACCAGGAGCCTGTCCTCCATGATCACTTGAGGATGGCTAGTGCTGTCATCTTTAAATTGGTGCCTACAACCAGCACAGTTCAGTCCCCTGCAGAAGCTGCAGTGGCCTCACATCACACACTTCAGAGAAGTATCAACAGAAACTGTTGCTGCAACAGCCATGCAGAGTTTCTGGCTCAGGTGCAAAGACAAAGCACTTCTGCTGGGATTTACTCCTCTGGTTGAAATCTGCACCGACCTCCACAGATTTCAATCCTATGAAAGAATTAAATTCCCTCTGCTTTACATGAGCAAACCAACATTTTGTTCTGGAGTCTAAACTGCTAAGCACCATAAATGACCAGATGCACTAAACAAACTGAAAAACATCCATTGTATCATCTCTGCCACCTTGCTTCTCCCATCCCATCTTCTATGCTGTCCAACTCACAACATCACACCACAGATTAGAAAGCCAAGTAGCAAAGAAAGCTCCTCACCACTGGACTTCTGCTTCCTGAAAACAAAAGAACTGCTAAGCATCATAAATGACCAGAAGAACATCCATTGTATCATCTCTGCCACCTTGCTTCTCCCATCCCATCTTCTATGCTGTCCAACTCACAACATCACACCACAGATTAGAAAGCTCCTCACCACTGGACTTCTGCTTCCTGAAAACAAAAGGAGCCTTGCAGAACTGGTTGCACTCCTTGCTGAGGTCCTGATATGGTCAGGAAAGTCCTACCAGGCTCTTCACCTAAATGAAGTTCTTGGTGGGCTTCCAGCCTGTAGCTATGCAGCAGTAAGGCCAATGTTCAAAGAGATGTCCCTCCCACTGATCCAGCTGCAGGCACTGGCTCTTGCCATGAACACACATGTATAAAGCCAACGTCACCTAAGGGCATGAAGTCACCTCTAATCAGCTACCCAAAACATAAGGGCTCTTCACTTCCTTAGTTCACTATCTGCAAGATAAGGGCAGCTGCACTATCTTAGAGAAACCTGCCTGTCCTTAAAACAGGTCTACTGGACAATGTAAGACCCAGTCCTTCCAACTTCTCAGCCTCTCATCTGCAGACAGACCAACTGAGCAAGGATTCACTGCAGGCTTTTCTTGACAACAAGGTGGATTCAGAAAAAATAGAAAAGGTTGGATATTATGAAAAATGTCTTCACTGGAAGCACTGGAACAGGCTGCCCAGGGAAGTGGTTAAATCACTATTCCTGGATATGTTTAGAAGTCATGGAGATATGGTGCTGAGGGACATGGTTTAGCAGTGGGCTTGGTAGAATTAGCTCAAGGTTAATGGTTGGACTTGGTCTTAACAGTCTTTTCCAACTTAAAGAATTCTATGACACTACATAGAAGTCTTAAAAAATGCTCCTAACCTAAGATTTATTGCAGAAAAGTGTTTCTAAATAGTAACAGTTTCACAGTAGGATGCCAAGAAAAGAATGTGGAATACAGCAGATACCAGTGAAAAGCCAGTTTCTTTTTCCCTGTGATCTGAAACAGAGAAAAGGCACAGACCTTTGAGAAACAGCACCACAGATCCCCAGCAAAAAGGCAACAGTGACTCTTCAAATGACTTCTCAGTCCCAGGCTCATATTATTAGGGGGCTTTTCTTCAGATCTGCCCAGCACAGCTTAACACAAGTGTGACACGGGCAGGACAGATGGTGGGGAAGTTCTCAGAAGCACACCTGGACCTTAGTGCATATGGTACAAAACCTCCTGGGGCACAATCCACACAAATTTTGTGTAGAGGAACTTGGAGATCAAACAGCTCAAGTAATTATCTAATAATGGCAGATCTGTGAAGAAGAGAGGTAAGAATTATGGCATCTAATTTCCCATCACAGCAGGTATGTAATGAGTAATCATTGTATAAAATGTTTGGGAGAACATTAATTTATTTGCATTTCTTTTAACATGAACTCATTCCATGTGTTTGAAGCCTAATAACCATGAGAGTGTGAAGGTCCTTCTGTTATTCAAGTCTAGGGGAAAAGTGAGTCATCTGTCCCACTTAGTTGGCAGCACACATCATTTGATAGGATTTGAGATACTCTATTCAAAATTCAGAGTTTCTCCCACATCCATTAAATAATTCTATTTATATATAAAAGTACAAAGCTGCCCAATATTTAAATCATGCCATTTGCATTTATAATTTTGGCATTATTAGATTTTTATTAAAGCCTGCAACGTCAGATAAGAGGAAGATGACTTTGCTTGGAGTCAAACTTGGCATTGGAGAGGCAAGCTGAACCCTCTAAGAAAACACCAAGCCTAGGAACAAGGAGAAATTTCATTTGCACAGGGATGAGCAGAGCTCGTTGCTTTTGTTGAAACAGCATTTTTTTTTCAGTAAATTAAAGAAAACACTATTAAAACATCTAAAACTAAATTTATCACACAGATGTACCAAAAGTCAACGTCTTGAGAAACAAATCACTATATTAACCACAATTCTACAAGACAAAAACTGGTTTAAGATATTAAACAAGTACAATTTAGTTCTATGTTACTTCTACCTCTTCAAACTACAGTATGCCATGAAGTTTTAAGTCCATGATCTGACAAGAGCTGTATTCCCCTTGGCTCACAACTGCAGCAAGCAGAACTGAACAATGTCATGACAATTTTCACGTTCTGTTGATTGTCAAGCTCAGCGTTCAAATTCCCTTTTACACGGATCAAGAAGGGAAGATTTTGGTACATATGATGTTTCTACAGCTTCCTATCAAAATAAGCAAAGCATCTGAAAAGCCTGAAATCAGTCCATGGCACATGCAGCCGTGTTGTAAGGGAGAGATAAATAAATCAGTAGCCAGGTGACTTTCAAATTCAGATTAAATTTCTTTTAGCAGCAGCCTCTTTCACATTATTTGAGGGTATCCAAGAAGAATCTATAATTTCCCTAACACAAGGCAGATGCTACAATTAATCCACACAAATAAAGCTGGGTGAGCATCCATCTTCTGCAGAAAAGGAATTGCTTATTCACTGGGTATCAACCAGGTGTCTTCATTCACCTCTAGCACTGCTCAGTTTTGGGTTCCAGAGAAATAACATGGTTTGCCCTTCAGCAAGAAGGTAAATCCATTCACAACCCAAGAAGATGAAAGTCACAAGCCAATATTTTGGAGTGTAACTTTTTCCACTTACCTTCATATGTTTCCAGTATGTGCACGGTGTCACCTATCTGT